TTGGGTAACCCATCCCATTATTTCGGGCAATCCCAATATATCCCATCCAATAATAATGGTCCATAGCGGAACCGGATGAATTTCGGATAAGGGATGCTTAGATAAAGAACGGAAACGGCGTCTGCACCATCCAAATGCAAGTGTAAATGTTATCTGCACCGTAGCCCAGTCTACTAAGAGCTGTAAAAAGCGAATTTTCGGATTGATTACAATATCTTCTGCAATAAGGAAAATTGAGAGGGTATTCTTTGGCAAGATTGGCATTGGGAGTTGCTCGTCGACGTGGAGTTTTTTATTGGAACAGTTGTATAAGGGAGATAAAACGGCATCTCGAGTAATTCGAGGGTGACTAGGTGATGAGCCCACTAGTGGAGTTACGGACCTTTTCATATCCAGAGCTGATATCGGGAGACGTATGAGGAATTCAGATCCCTTAGACGGACCTTCTGTTGCTGATCTTTCCAAAGTAACATCACCACCAAGATTCTTCCTAACATGAGCCTTCGCGTTGAATAAACTAAGGCCTAATCCATCTTTTGGTCGACTAATTGATGCATTCTCTTGGAAATGAGGTTGAAATAGACGAGATTTTGATTCTTCGGTAATGCCGCATCCTGTATCAACCACCCATACCTCAACCATATGCCCAGTATTATTAAGTTTGACAGTTATCGTGATCCTGCCACCATCCGTGAACTTGATTGCATTATCAATTATTTTTGAAATTGAGAATTGTAAATGCTGTTCTTCAGTAAGAATGGCCTTCGGAACATCAGGCTGGATCACCAATTCAATTAAACACTCCTGCATTTCACCCCTTGACCCTTGCGTTTTCACTTCAATTATCTCACCAAATTCAGTCATGGTATGGTGCTCGCTTGTTGGATAATCGCTTTTGAGAGCATCACTGATGAGATTCCGCATAAAATCACGGGTGATGATACGTTGATGCCCCCGAGTTCATGGAAGCTGGCGAGGTAAGTGGGCTGGGTTTTGAGGCGAGAGGGAAGCCATCTGACTCCATCTGTACGTCTGAATCCATGGTGACTGTGGACTGAATGATCGTCTCACGGCTTGAACTTGCCGTAGAAAACTAATGTGGAATCGATATCGGTCAAATGACGCGACATTTCTCGCTCGGATAAGGTGAATGTACGTTTCGGAGGAGATCCTAAATTGAGCTCAAGGTCTTCAGAACGATTCCGCTTGTTCAACGTTGGAGATGAAAATGCGTCCTGTAAATGGCCACCGTTAGGCTGGTAGTAATTTGGCGTGAGTACAAAAGATTTATTCCCGTCGTCTTCAGGAGTTAAAGGAACATCGGGCATTTGCATGTTGAGATCGTATGCGTGGACGACATTATCGGCTGCTTCTATCGCCCTTCTAGAGCTTTCTGTGTAAGATCAGTATCAAATAGGTAACCATAACGATGGGTTCACTTACCTTGCACAATCTCAATATTGCCTTTGAGATCTGCAAAAACAGATCGAGCCCGCTCATCTTGTTGGTTTGCGACAGCATCGAGGACAGTTGAGTACATGATATCTAACATCCCTACCACTCCTTGCATAGGTGTCCTTAGCTCGTGGGATAGGCTTCGGGCGTATGGTTTAAGTGACTGGGAAGCGGTGATAGGAGAAAGAGGTATGATCTGTGCTGGAAGGGACTCTGGGAAATTAGCCTCTTTAGCGAAACCATGCCCCTCCATTATGCGCTGGAGAATCATGTCTTCAAGAGAATGCATGAACATTTCTATGAAGCTCCAACTGAGCGTTCTTCTTTGAGCACCCTCTTCGGACCATAATAATGCAAAGTGAGCAAAATATTTGTCTTCCACAGATAATGGCACGCCGATAAAGGCCTCTGATTGACTGCATGGCATGATGTTTGGACTGTTGCGTGTTACCTCCTTCATTCTCTCGGGTACAATGACCACTTTGTCATATTTCATATAAGCGCAAGGTGTACCAAAGGCCGTATACTTATAATCTCTTTCAAGTTTAGGTTCCTGATCCCCACTTTTGGAATAGAAAGCAACACCCATTAAACATGAGCTTTCTTCTCCAAATTCTGGAAGTTCACCCGCGGTATCCTGTTCATCCACCGACATTCGTTTAGCAACCAATCCGCATTGAGCTCCTGTTATATCGCACATTTCCTCCATCAATACTCTCCAGAAGTCGTAGGTGTCGGCCTTGCGAAGCCGAGATTTCAATTTAACCAGGCGTTCCGAAGCATTGCTTTCAGCGGCAGCCGGAAAGCATCGACCCAATGTATTTGTAAAGCCTTCATCACCGCTATGCAGTATGGAATCGTCTGTGAAGTCGGGCAAGCACAGTGTTTGTCTGTCTATAAGATCGTGTGGTGCTTGTGTCCCTGTTCCCGTTACCCCCGTCATTTCCTGCCCAGTCCTCTCAAGGAATAGATTTTTTATCGAAGGTTGTGTAGATATTCGTCTAATTCTTTGACGCTGGGGTTTGTATATTCTCGAATTGCAAGGCTTTCCCTCAAAGCCCTCACGACGATATCGTGGCACTTGCATTCCAATTTCTGATTTAATCGTGGGTATGAATGCATTAAGCATTTAGTCAGGCGTTTCGCAGGCTGTTTGCCTTGGCCAAAACGATCGGAGCAAAGGTCGTCGACGACAATGTACAATCAAAATGGTAGGGGGGTATGTTTTCGAAAGAGCATATGAGTGCCAGAGTCCCGGTATGGGATTGCACCTCATCCAACAGTGGGGCTTTCTCTATTGATCGACGAGAGAATGATGGATGGGTGGGAGAGAAGTGAATTGAGGGTGTTGACCAGAATGGAAACCCCGGCAAATGGAATTATGCGCGAATGTGATTCTAGAACTCCTGTTTTGATGACACAGTGTTAGAAAATATTCTAACCAAAACTGTGGTGGATGAGGAGAAGAGCTTGTAATTGGGACGAGGGCAAGCGGTAGAGGGTCTAAAGGGTCTGGATGCCAAAGTTTTAAACAAACATTGAAACTTAAAGGACCGGGTGAGTCTGGGTCGGGTTACTGGCAGTTGCGGCACTAGGGCCTGTAGCAGTTTGGATACTATTGGTCAAAGAGCATTGAATTGATTTTAAAGTGTTGACTTTAATGAGAAGGGTTTTTGATAATAATAAATTGATTATAAAATTTGGACATAGACGAAGCGGATAGAAGTATATGTACCGATAGGGTTTTTGGCTGGTAAATATGAAAAAATGAATACTTTTGTGATATC